AAATTGCAGAGTTCAAATCATGTTTGATTTATCAGACACATTCTACACTGAAAGAAGGGTGAGACAGGGTGAGGCACTTACATGCATGTTTTTTAATATCACCCTTGAAATGGCTATTAAAGATACTAGAATTATAATCAGAGGTACCATATTTCAGAGATCTATACACTTAATAGCATACACTGATGACATCGACAATATTGGCAAAGTAAACAGATGGTTGTGGTGACTTTTGGTTCTCTGGAGTCTGCAGCCAGAGACATTGGACTTAACATTAATGAGTGCAAAATAAAGTTTATGGCAGTAACAAGTAGAGTATATAATCCCCTCACACTGCAAATAAAGTCCTATACTTTCGAGGGCATTTCTCTGTTTATGTATTTCGGTATTATCATCTCTAATGATAATAGTATTAAACTTGAAATTGACAATAGATTATTTAAATGATTTAGATCTTTTTATACTTCTATATAATAATAATAATGTAATCATGGTTTAAAAAATTTATTAGTGTCTAAATTATTAAATTTCAAGACAAAAATAAATCTTTATAAAACTCTTATTAGACCTATCATATTGTCTGGTAGTGAATGCCGGCCATTAACCTTTAAAAGACGGGTGGCCTAAGAATCTGCCAGAGCTGTAGTGTCTCAAAAAGACAGCTGTGGCTGAAATATCGGCCAGCGAATTCTCCTCCCTCCATCCTTCAGTGTGCGGAGATAGTCATCGTTCGAATAACCTCCCTTGTCACTTATGCGAGATGACCTTCGCGCCTTCCAACTGTGGGGTTTCGTAAATTCACTTTTGTTTCCCTCATCAGTGAAATCTTAGCAATTTTACATTATAATATACATTACATTAACATACATATAATATACATTTTACATTATATAGTATTTATTTCACCAACTTTTCAATGTCATTAAAAATGTATTTTTTCTTTATATTTCCCCTTTTTATTGCAATTTTTGTATTTAATATTGCTGTTTGAAACATGCAAAATGCAACGGAGTGCAATGCAATGAAAATAAAATCTGTTTTAATAGTAAAGGAAAAAAATTTAAAAAAAAAAAAAAAAAAAGCTAAAGGATAAAAAAATGCTTTTATCACAAAACTGCAAGAAAGAACAATGAAAAGTAATGTAGTTGAAAGATGAAATGACTTACTATACAATGATGGGGGAATTAATAAATTAAACTGAATAAGAATACTAATGAAAAAAGTAAACTAAACTAATATAAAAAAATACAACGGGATTTGTTTGATATATAAATATAAGAGGCGTATTTTCATTATAACGCAATGTCAAAAGTTAATATTCCAACATACAACAATTATTTAGCTACAAAATCTCATTATATTATGTTTCCCTAGTTTAGGGAAAAGAAACAGCAGAAAAGAGAACAAATTCAACAAATTCTTTTACATTATTCCCTAGTCTCTTATCTGAAAATTAACAAAGGCAACCCCCAAAGGCGACCTACAGGAAAAGTTGCAAAAGAGTAGTAGTTTCCCTTTACAATGGCAACTAAAAGGGTGGTGTAAATGCATTTGAATTTCCCATCTTTTTAAGTGAAACCTTTCCAAACTGCCCCATTTCTTAAAGGTTAACAAAAACAGATGAAGAAAGACCTCTAATTTTTGAAAGAAAAATACAGTGGAAAATATATGGTCCAATTACAGAAAATAATAGGTGGAGAATTTTATTTAACCATGAAATATATATATAAGATACAAACAACCTAATACTGCCTGAGTCATCAAATCTTATAAGTATCAGGTGGCTCAGACATATTTTTAGATGTGACAGCTTGAACGCTATTAAAAAGGTGACCTTTGCAAATGTAGAGGGTACCAGGAAAAGAGGAAGACCTCACACAGGATGGACAGACTGTGTGGAGGAAGATCTCAGGACTCTAAAAATGAATTTTTGGCGGACTGTAGCGACTAATCAGATTCGTTGGAGGAAGCTTGATGAGATGGCCTTGGCCTGTGACAGGCTGTAGTGCAACTGAAGAAGAGAAATTTTATTCAACATTCTAGACTTTACAATGTTTCTGTGCATGTTAGGATAAATTTGGGTACCAGTATGAATGAAATTTTGTTCTTGTAATTTTATACTGCATTTTTTCAAATAAAAATTACTGGAAAACAGAATATACAGCAGATGTCATTTAATGTGATCACAGTTAATTTATCATTCAGAAATTGTTATCAAATTGCAGAAGTACCACCCATTTATAACATGGAAAGTACATCGTTTATTATGTACAATTCAGTTAATACGATCAAAATATTACAGAATAAATTTTTTAAGCAAAAGACATCAAATAAAAGATACATTTGCTAAGAAAGTTCAAAAGATATTTTAAAAATTGTCAAGTGACAGAGAAATGTTGCCAAGTAACAGTTAAGTCACTATACAGCTTGGTTTCTATTTTAGTCAACCATTTCAAATTGTGTGGGGGGGACACCTTAGTCTGGCATTACGATTAAGAATATAGAATTTGGTCAAATAACTTCTAGAAACATAATGAACAGTTCATAGAAATTTAACGAAGACATTATGAAAAGTTCATAAAAAGATTTTGTATTTTCTTAATTAAAATGCTCTGAAAGTACCTACTTACATGTTTCCATTTATATTAAATTAGTTCAATTCCATTTCTATTTTGAAGGATATTTTTTCTCATCGCTTAATGTTATCATTCAGTTAATGCTATCTAAATAACCATGACATCACATTAAGGAATGCTTACTATACCAAAAAAGTTGGTGTTGGTGTATTTAATTATGGCAAAGCACACGAGGGCTATCTGCCTACAGGGAGGGATGCCTTTCGTGGAGGACTTTCTAAGGGGGGAAACTGGCTCGTATACACATTACACATATGGAAACCACGAAAACGCCCATGCAGCCAGCCCATTCGCGGGATTCGAACCTCAGACCGAACTACCAGTGTTCAGCGTCTTTACCGCTCGGCCGCTGGTGGGCCCATACCAAAAAAGAATGCATATGTAAATGGTGATACTGCTCATTAGAGCTGAAGAATTCTTCAGGCACATCATGGCTGCCACAGTTTGACCCATTCTCAAACTCTGGCAACAGCTTCTAACAAATGAAAATATGTAAATACCCCAAATTATACAGCTTATATAGAAGAATATTTATTGCTCTTAAAATCCTATGTAAAGAAGTTGCTTTTCATACAATAACAGAATATGTGATGTTGTGACAGCTCTCTGTGTTTTACATTTTCTTCAAGCATACAAAAATTTAACATGCATTACATTGTTTCTGTTAGCATAAGAATGAGTTTGGAAATAAGGCAGAAAAGCTCCCATAACCACATAGATCTAGCACATTACTTTTAAAAACAAAGTTAATATGTAGTAGCACATAAAATACACAAAATAAATAAATCCTTATAGCTTCCTTAGTGCTTATAGCTAAGTTCACTTCAGGTACAAATAAAAACATGATAGGACAAATTAAGCAATTTAATAAGTTATTTTTTTACTTAAATCTTTCATGAAATACCAAACATGCACATTTTCATTCTAAAATAACAGCTGATACAATTTTATATATCATGGACACCTTTAAACAAGTATCCTCACATTAAAAAAAAAAATGTTATCTTAATTTTTTTCTCACATGTCCTCGAAGAAAATAAATTTTAAAATGGGAAAGATGTAAATCTTATTAGGTAGAATACATTTTGTACATTACAAGCTAAGCAAAAAACAAATTTTTTTACATTAGTACAAGTTAAGTAAAAAACAATGTTAACAGATTTTATATTTTTGCTCCTTTTCTGTTAAAGATATCTACAATTTGGTACTTTTTTTTGTTTGTTTTTGTTTTAGTGAATTTCCTAAACGTTGCCAATTTAGTGTGGTTTGTTTCCTTGCAATAACTGTATTTAAAACCATCCCACTCACATAAACACCTTTTCACCTAATCATACTTCCCTCCTCCCATATGCTAGATTTTAGTTTAGACAGTATGTAGTAAATTATTCTTATCATCTCATTAATCAGAACATTAAGTACGATGTCTAATCCATTAGTGAAAAATAGCACTTTACATAGCAAAAATAGCAGCTAGAAACAGTAGCCAATAAGGCACTGCCTACAGCCTACCAACATAAAGACTCTGACTTAATTGAATTTTTGTGGCATTGCATGCATTTCTACGGAGAAATGTTCTGTTAACTTTAATGCTATTTTCATACTTTATGCCTGTTGTTCAGTCTTGTACGAATCTTTTTTAAGGCTATGTTTATTAATTACTGTTCCTTTTATTTTAGTTTTGTCCAGATTATTTAATTATTTTAAGAGGCAATGAATATAACAAGCAACAACCTTTTTTTTCTGCTTTTTTATTTCATGTTTTTCCTCCTTATGAAGAGGGTTTTTCATGGATGAAACCAAACGAAATCAAGATGGGAAAAAATAAAGATAAGGAATTCAGTTAAAAGAGGAGAAAACTCTAAAAAGATTTTTTTTTTTTTTTTTTTTAAAGTTCTGGCCAAACAATATTCAGTAATGAGACAAAGGTATGGGGAAAAATAAATATGGCAAAATGATACTGAAGCTGTATGCTATACGGCTTTAATGGAAAATTAGCAATTTTTGTTCCCACAACAATAAAGTGCTCTGTTTTTTATACCTTATAACAAAAAATGAAGTATAAAATTAACAGGAAAACTTCCCCACATTTTGAATGATTCTAATATTCACTAGAGGTGATCACTTTTGAGAACATCACTATTGATCATGCTAATATCCTTTTTCATTATATTCTTGGAAATACTGCTTGCTGAATTCAGAGACCGTCATCTTACAAAGGTTGCTGCCATAAGTTTGATGGAATATAAATCATAAAAGTAACTTAATCAGACTTTTTTAGATCAGTTCTGATTTTGTCCCATTTCCGTATTTAAGTCCTCTTTCTTAGCAAATAGCAATTACCACAAATGAATAAGATTATCTTACCTTAAACGAATAATCAGGATCAAGTTTGGACTGGGTGTACATCTCACATGTATAACCGTGATGATAAATGACATTACAACTGCAAAATAAAATAAAACATTTTCAAAATGCTATTCTAAGTTGAAATGTATTGACAGTTATAAGTACAGTGGTACACTGAGCCAAGAAAAAAAAAAAAAAAAAAAAGGGACAGTTCTATATCTCCCCCTCTATTGGGCTGATTGGCGAAATTCAACTTGTGATTTTCATGTCTCGAAAGTGCGACTTAGGATATGTATTAGATTTATGTATAGCACAGTTCTAATATAGGTACTTTGACACAAAATCGGACATTTTCTGAAATAACATACCAATTCTTTTTTCATATTTTGATTCTAAGACTCAAATGACGCCAAACTACCAAGTTTTGTACAAATCGCACGAGTAGTTTTTAAAAAATTAGCTCTCAAAATTTTAGCTTCTCAATGTTAATCGAGTTTGGTATATATTTATTAATCTCTCTTTTTTTATTAAACTTATTTGATTCTTCCTTTCACAATAGAAAATTTAGGTTCATTCAAAATAAAATTCACCAATTTTTTATGATTTATTTTTAAAATTTGTACTTTTAAATAATTTTTATAAATTTTTCAAAAACATTTTTGAATTATAATCTATAAAATTTTTATTATCATCTTGAAGTAGACAATTTCTAAGTATACCTGCAAAAAATGACAGCTTTTTATTCAAAATTTCCGAAGATACACGTGAATTGATATATTGGCGCGTTTTGAAATTTGGCATATTTGTTGAAAGCGATAAAACATCAAATGTGGTTTAGACACTTTGCTAAAATTATTTGGAAGTAGAAACGATGTGACTTTTTTCTCTGCTTATGCACAATGTAAAAAGGTAGAAATGAGGTGCCTTTTTTTCCACTCCAGCATAATGGAAAGGAAAGGAAAATTGATTGACATATATTAACAGATTTGCCAAGTGAACTATTCTTGGAGCAAACTGAAAAAAAAAAATGTGACGAGATAAATTTTTGGATTTTTCCGTAAATTTCAGACCAAATTTTACAAAATTTAATATTTGGACATAATTTGAGCCATAGAATTGAAATATGGAAAAAAAATGGTATGTTATTTCCGGAAAAGCCCGATTTTATGTCAAAATACCAATGTTAGAACAATGCTATGTATAAATCTAATATATATCCAAAGTCGTGTTTTCGAGACATGAAAAATGCAATTTGAATTTCGTCAATCTGCCCAGTAGGACGGAAAATATAGAATTGTATTTTTTTTTTTTGCGCAGTGTACAAACAGAATATGTATTGACGTTCTTTGGTGTACCTCCATATATGCCCACTTTGAAATACGTCTACCTTGGTTTATGCCTCATTTGAACAAGAAAATTTGCGTTCAGTATGCATTTGACTGGAATAATGACTTAAGTTCATTGAGTTTTAACTGTGTATGCTACATTTGTTTTCCTCTTTCAAAATAATCCTATGAACATCAGCATGCCGGTTGTTATTATTCAGACAGCCCACACTATTAACTATGAGTTTTAGTAAAGTTAATGAAAAGAGTCAACCAATGAAAAAAATTGTTAGGATCACCATGGAGGTAAAAAAAGAGACTGTTCAAAAGTATGGAGATGGCATGTGTACCTAGGACTTGGCCTATTGCATACTCTTTTCAGAGTACAATGTTTGCAATTATAAATACTACAATTATATTGAAATATTTATAACTGTAATTAGATTTAAAATTTGTAAATATTATACAAAACAACTACAATTATAAATATTATACAAAATAAAATTTAATTACAGTTAAAAGATTATAGTCAAAGGTATTCTAAAGAATGGGAAATTAATAATTACTTTATATATTAATGAAGCAGAATGTACTACATTCTGCACATTATCATCATCAACTCAATCTGTTACAAACTGCAAGTCAATTGTGTCATACAGTACAAAGTCTGTAATCTGGACGTCCATTACAGAAGACATAATCTGACCTCAAGTACAACTTACACACGCGCTTAATGTCACGCACTGCACCTCGCAAGCTTACCCATGTGCGTTCCAATTGAGAAATGCGAGAGTTATTCAAAACGAAAAAATTTCGATTGACAATTGTCGGTATTCTCGGACAGCAATTACAGGACTTAACTGCAACTTTGTAACTGAGCAAGAAATTATGTCTGCTTATAGAATTAAAGAAAAAGTATTAGCACAAAAAATGATGCAACTTAAACAACTTACATTGAAAGAAATGTTTAATAAAGTAAACAAATAAATATTGAGCTTTTTTTTGTAAATTTTGATACCCTTTAGATCATAATTGCTCTTTATTTTATAAATTATGGTTTCATATTTTTAATTGTATAATTTCAGCATGCCATCTGACAAGATTTAAATTGATGATCTATAATGCAGAAAAACCCCTAATCTGGAATTGCCAAAGTCCCGACGAGTTCGGATTACAGACTTTGTACTCTGTTGTGTTACAAACAGCTATTAATTGATACTTCAGTTCCTGCTGTAAATCACAAGGTTGATTCATTGGGCAAAATGCATTTGAAAGAGGATAAATTATGGTGCTGGAACATACGTCACAACAGTCTACAAAATACTGCAGACACTAGGCCTTTGGCCGACGGTTTTCACAAGAACAGATTATGAACAACAAATTCGGATTGACAAAGCTATGGGTAGAAACATGAAATTGGTAATCACAGTTCATGTTGCATCAAACAGTTGTTTCGATGAATTAACAACCGATATTAAAATTTGCTACAAAGAAGTTTCAACATTACTAGCACAAAAATTATTCAATGCTGATTATGATGTATGGGCATTTTAAGATGTTAGTAGGTATTTTTGATAAAACCAAAATACAGTAAGCTCTAGTTTCCAGGATATAAAAAAAATCTGGTTGACTGAAAGTAAATATCCCTTGGGAATTAAAGTATAGTACACAGCTGGGAATGCAAACTGAGTCAATATACAGGTTAATATACAATGTGGTCAGCATAGGATCTGATCAAATACAATGTGGTCAGCATAGGATCTGATCAAATAATTGAAATGTTAAGCCTCTTAAACTTAATAGACAATGACACACTATGTCAGGTTGAAATATTCAACAGAGTATCCAGTACATAATAAGGAAGGAGGGGGGGAAGAACTCAATAATGGCAATATACTGTTGCTTGTATACGGGTTTGTAATAGAATGAATGCCTAAAGAACCGATGATAGCTTGATAAAATTTATTTTATCAAAAGTAACAATTCCTAGTTCAAGAATTTTCATAAAAATAGTTGTACAACTCTTCACAGTAATACAGAATACAATCAGTAGTTACACTTCAAATTACTAATAACATTAAACATTACACAACACAAAGTGCATCTAAAGAGCAAAGCTAATCCTGAGGTATCTCAGTATTCCAAACTCATACTGAACTAACAACTAAAAAATGAGAAACTGATACTATTTCTGGACCCAACAGTGCCCACCTGGTCGCCAGATGCCCCCAGCATCCTCTGCCCTTCAAAAACCTTCAGAAGGTACATGAAGGCAGAACACAGCCACATAGATGATCAACCGCAACTACTGAATTAAAATACCCACCACAGTTATATACTGACTGGATCAAAAAAACCCTGTGATCCTTTGCCAAATTTGGCGATAAAAAATCACTTGTCAAAACAGCTGCCGACACCTCGACCAAAACAACGAGACAGGCATACACACAATGCCAAACAGACCTGCTGTTGTACTCCTTACCTTTATAGAAGAGCACTGTCTCTCCACTCTTTCATGCCACACTAAACAGAAAAATGCAACAAATTCACACATAACTGCAGAAAAATAATCCAATCATGCACAAAATTCACAACATGCCCCCCTCCCAGGGACTGCACGTCCCAGGCAGTATATTCCCTGGACAGCAAGCCATATTTACTACTATGGAAAATCAATGTAATATACTAAAACAATAATTATATCAACATATAAAAGAATAATTTCAATAAATAGCATAAAAAATAAAATACTAAATCAATAAATAAGTTTATAAATTTACAAATTTAGAAACAAATAGGACTATGGTCTTATTATACCAATACAGTACAATGTCTGAGATCCTGCTTCCTTGGGACTTCAGCCTTTCCGATTTGGAATTTTTCCAGATATTAAATCATCAGTTTAAAACTTGTAAGATGGCATGTAGAAATTACAAAATTAAAAATATGAAATTGTGATTTATCAAATAATGAAGCATTTATGATCTAAAGGGTAACAAAATTCCCCCCCCCAAATAAGCTTAATACTGATTTGTTTACTTTATTAAACATTTCTTTCAATGTAAGTTGTTGAAATTGCTTTTTTGTGCTAATATTTTCTATTTAATTCTGTAGACAGACATAATTTCTTATTCAAATACAAAGTTTCATTGTTCAAGTCCTGTAATCACAGTGTTGAGAATTCCGATTAACTTGTCAATTGAAATTTTTTCGTTTTCGATAAACTCTTTGTCACTTTCTTCACTGTCAGTAGCGGTATTTTCTGGATCTAGAGTCATACTATAGATTTTGCCGTACATTAACTGATTGATAATGGGGGCACAGCCATAGCAATGAAAAACTCCTGTTATATCATCTTAATTTATTACCGCTTCTCCATGTTTCTTAAAAAAAAACTATTAATTGGAAAAGTTAACCTTTGACTGCGAATTTGGAAACCTTCACATTCACGACTATCATATTCATCATCCTCACCATGAAATATGCTAGCTGGCCATAAATTATGCCAAGCACTTTTTAAAGTATCTGGAGACACATCCTTCTGCAATCTTGTGATGCTCCACAAAGCAGATTGTAAGCTAAAATATTTCATACATTCTTAAATTGTCTTGCCATTATTCAAGAAATGTAACATGTATTTTAAAAATTCTACTTTATATTTGCATTTCAGTATGCACACTATTCCGATATCCATAGGCTGAATGAAGGACGTACAATTTGGAGGAAAGAATAATACGGATACATTATCTTTCTCTAAAACTTTAAGTGAAGT